CCGACCGATACCAATGTGCCCTGAAACAGATAAATAAATAATAAGATATGAGGATGAAAATGGAGATGATTTGGATTGTAAATACAGAGTGATTCCAGTGATGATTGGCGCTCTGGCACCAGCAAAAACTGAAAAGTATCGACAACTACATCAAAGGAGAGCAACTGCAGAAATCGAGTCTGCTTGGTACTTTTCATGTCTTTAGAAGAGTACTTCAGCTCCCCAACAATTGGCGGAGGGTTCGAATCGAAGTAATGTCCATACTAGTCGTGTAATGGGTTTGAAATAAAAGAAAATCCTGTAACTGAAAGGTCACAATCGACAAACTAAAAGTAGCTCTAGCTTAAAATTGTCTACAGACTATGCGATATTATTATAGTTTCATCAGAAGACAGCTGTCAACGCTTTTAAAGGGTTGCTGCACGACGATGTCCGCACGAGCGTCCCCTTGTGGCTGCATTTTTCTTGAAACATTTGATAGTAGATTATCCATTGAAGTAATCAGAACAAGGTGTGACAGATTTCTTCGTTTAAGCATAGGACTTCTAAAGTGTTATCAGATGTTGCTTGTCATGGCAATCTAAGGAGTGTTAAACATTACAGTCCCGATTGCCCTTAATTAACGATAAGCAATGTTATCAGTAACTTAAGTTGTTGTCTTTACAGTCAAACCGCGCTGATATCGACCCGATTTCCTTTACGCATGCAAAGAAATGAAAGAGGGAGTCAAACACCTGAAAAAACGTCTTAATCGGCAGCAATCTGGTTACTGTTTTTGGCTGTGATGTTCAACGGTTGTCAGTAACTTAAAAAGCGATGCTGGCTGATGATATACACTGCATTCTGAATTTTTCAGCACTTATAAAAATGCACTGTTATCATATCGTAGAATTAACAATTATCAGTCGAACGCAAATCTGTATCTTCCTGATTCCTGGCTACACGCTCCCCACCTGGTTGACATATTGCCGTTTCATCTACTTCCTAACTAACCCGCACGCAGGGGTGAAGGTATACTATACATCAGTTCATCTAATAAGGCCAACTCTATGCGTTCACATGTGAAGATCTGCAGGATACGAAGGTGACATGTGTGAAAGAATAGCCAAGA